CCCATTGTGCTTAACAAATAACAGTTCTGCTGTACCGTACACTCCGCCGTTCGGTCCGTACAGCGAGGAGTGTGTATATATATATATATATATATATATATTTGATTGAAAAGTGAAGTTATAAAACTTTAATTGATCATATAGTAAACAATTTATCTTGTTATTTGTAATATTGACTCCTAATGCTGTACCAGTGTTATTTCGTGATACAATACATATCATGGTACAATATCAGTTGATTTGAGCATGACAACATCCTTTGGGGCATATTGTTTGTTACATTCGAGTGGATTAGGATCTGACAAGTGTGATGTTAAAATTGAAAGTACATTAAATAACATACCAATTGTGCTAGTTTTTAACCAAAAACTTTGGAAATGATATTTTAATGCAAAGCCCACTGGGATGCGAGTGAGGGCCAAACTTCATTGGCCATTGTTTGGATGGAGCCAAGTTTATATGTACTTGTACAAGTGACCATGGCCAAGGGTCATATATACTGGCCATGTTGGTAGACATGCATACATTGTCAGTAATTATGGTTATTCATCCCAATATTTGATTTAGAAATCCATGATCAAGCATTCTATTATGAAAACTGAAAGAAATTGAACAATATTCTTTCCCAATGTTTAGGCATACAGAACACGAATCCTTTGTGCTATTTTCCTTGGCAAAATGAGTTAGTTTTGTGTAAATCTTAATTAACATGATTGTTTGGAATATTTTGGATACTTCCATCAGAATTTGCTCATACTCTATGCTGTTTACTTGAGGAAAAAACACAAATGGTCAAATGCAGTAGATAAAAATCTTGAGGATTTCCAATCAATTGTGTCTGTATATATGTTTTTAAATGAAGGACAAACTTTTAGATACAAAAGACCATTATAGGAATGTTACTAATTTATAATTTGATCAAAGAGAAAAGTTGTTCATAATAATGGTACAAATTCTTATGTTCCTCCAGATGCACAGTTCAAGATGTTTTTCTTGTTAAGGGTAATTCAGGAACTTTTTAACTTGCACATGGAAGTGACATAGGGTATTGCCCAAAACCTTATCTTGGTGTTTGTCTGAAGAATGTATTGAGATTTTTTTTTCTATACTGGGTTTTGGACAAGTTGTAATGATCTGTTGCATTTATAATTCATATATTGAATTTCCTGAAATATTTTTTTGTACCCACAATCATACTGTCAACACTTTATTAACAAATTATATTAAACCATTCATAAACATTTATTAATATTGTTTGTTTTTGGATAAAGATTAAAGAAATATACTTTGAAAACATTAAAAGCGACTTTTGTATTCAGTTAGTTTAACAGAATTATATTGCTTATCAGTAATTTTGTTGAAATTTTATAAATTTCCACTAGGTGGCACAGTGACAGTGGTTCGTACAAGAGCACCTGGAACTGTGGGAACACAGCAAATACGAGTAGTTTCAGCTGGACCTGGTGGAACCCAGGTTGTTAGGAAAGTTGCTGCTGTGACCCCAGTAAGTAACTTGTCTGTGATAGTTGCACAACTTCTTTGCAAAAATAAGTTGATTAGTATTATTTATTTATAATTTGGACTTATAATTAAATTATCGTATTTTTTGGAATACAAGATGCACCGGTGTGTAAGACACACCCTTATTTTGAAGACAAAGTTTTGGGGGAAAAAAGCTACAAGTATATTTAAATCTCGGCAAATGAAGAACGTAGGCGGCTCAGATTTTATATTCTGGTCTGTCAATGTTTATAGCTTGTTTCTAATTGGTTGGGTACACTGAAAGCTATATAAGGGAAGAGAGAAAATCTGAAAATTGGAATTCAAAGCAGAGATGCATCATGTGACACAGATGAAGATTGAGAATTTATATAAATATTTCCTTTTGAAATTAAGAAAATAAAACTTAAATAATATGAAACTTTGGATTATAAACTTGTTTAATTGAGTTTTGAACCTAATTCTGTAAAAGATAATATGCATTTTGACCTCGCCAAGTGCATTAGGCTAAATGTCTCCCATGCTATAATTTTTTGACAGTACTCATTATCTTGCATTTTAAAGTTTATTTCACATTTTTATCACATTTGTTCTTGATAGATAATTAAACATGCCCCTTCTTTGTACAGGTAACAACAGCAGTAGTAGTCACCAGTATGAGTGGGATGGCAGCTCTTGCAGCAGCTGCAGCAGCCACTCAGAAAATTACTATGACAACGACACAGACAACCCCATCCCTTAGCAACATAAGAGTAGTATCTCCATCTGTTCTCACTCCACAAGGTATAAGGAATAATGCAATGAATGTGCAAGGTGAGTAAAAATTCATAAGTTTAAGAATAGTTCTAATTATAATGCCATCAAGGTAATAGAGACCTAAGACACACTAATGACATAGACTAGACTTGGGTGACAAAACAATATGCTCATTTTTCATTGTAATTTAAAACAGATGAAAGTAAGGTATGGGAAGAGATGTATATGACTGTTGTATGAATTAAAATGTGGTTTTCGTCTTGTGCAATTTTGATATCATGATAAAATTAGTGCTTCCTGTTACTCATAACAGCAGGAAATGGTAATTCAACATGTATAGTTAATACGTAATTCTGTGTATTTTTATACTCTTGAAAACTCTTTCTAAAGGTAATTATAGTCTAAATGCACATCACACTTAAAGCACATGTATGAAAAATCCATCAAAAGCAGTGTGATAATGAATTGCTGAATCATTTGAGTTATTGCATATTTAATATTCATTAAATAGGTACTCAGTCATTACGAACTGCAAACCCTGCAAATGCAACTATCTTGAAGACAGCAGGTGGTACTCCTGGTAAACAGATCATCACGGTTCACAAGTCAGGAGCTACATCTAGCCAACCACAAATAGTTACATTAGTGAAAACACCACAAGGTGTTACTGTGGCAACTGTAAGTCCAGGCTTCTCTTTGAGATTACTCTACAGAATATTTCCAGAATTTGTTTAATTTAGTTTTAAAACAGAAAATATCATGACAATAGAAAATAATATACTCAAAACAGATTTGTCTTTTTTTCCTTGATTCAGATGCCAAAAGTAAGCTTGATTCAAGGAAAGGCTGGTACCATTCAAGGACAGTTGCAGGTGAGTGTTTAATTGTTGATCTAGTAAATGAGTCAGGTTTGATTGAAGGACATTATAGTGACTTTTCTCAAAAGAAAGGATAAGTGTTATTACAAAAAAATTAAAACAAAGTTTTTTCATCCAAGAACAAAATCTAACCCAACAAGAGTTTATTAGTGTTCTCACACACACAAATGATGCCAACTCAATCTGTGTATTGTCACAGTTCATGAATATCAAGTTCAAGAATTCAGGATATAATAAAGTTTTCAGAACAAATGTGTTTTTGTGACATCTCACCATATAAGCTTCCCATGTCTGGACTTAGCTAATAATCCATATTTTAACTTCTTAATCCTAGAAGGCAATATTTTTAAGCATCCTGAATTTCACCTAGTGTTACACACACGTGAACATTTTCTCTGGGCATCTTCTATTCTCTATTTTATCCACCACCCATCCAAAATGTACAAAATTAAATGTAAATTACAAGCTCCATTCCTGTGGGAAAGCTAACAACTAGCTTGGATGAATTTGTAACGGCAATTAAACAATAAAATTTAATTATAAATAGATGTATACTGTTACCAGTTTAAAGCTACTTAGGATAAACTATTGTAGTTTCATGTTACAATTTGAAGTCATTCTATAAAGAAAAAAATAGATAATTTTTATTTTATTTATATTTTTATTTGGTGGTTATTATCCCATATAGAGATAGGGTAGAGAAAATAACAGATGAACTATACAGTTTTACTGAAAACAAATGTTTGAAATGTATTTAGGAGGTTTTAGGGGATTACACAAAAGAAATTGAAATTTTTGAGATGAGGAAAAGTATTTTTATTCTTAAGATAAATCACTTTGCACATGGACTATTCAAAACAAATACTCAATATGTTCATGGACAAATCTTTATTTGAGTTTATTAAAAATACTAAGCTAAAAATATGATTTTTTGAATGTGAAAGACTTATAATGTTAACTGAAAGACAGTCAAATCTTGTGAAGATATACACATTATATTGAAAGTTAGAAGTATTAAATCTCTAAAGACTTTAAACAAGTACAAAGAGGTCACATGATCAGTCAGATTGTCTGAGCCCATGTTGAGAGAGTTAAATAAAGTAGAGAAAAGGGTACCTAGAGAGCAAATGTCAAATGCACAATTGTTATACTAGGAAAAATTCAGGATTTTTTTTTAAATATTGTCTTATAAAATTGTGAACTGAGAACTTATATAATATTAAAATATAGATTATTAGATGCATTTTTTTTTTGCCAAATTTATTTGTATACCATGATAAGAAGTAGTTTAATTAGATTTTGAATATAACTCATTAAAACCTCATGATATGCATGGGAAAAAATGGCTGTAGTAAAAGTGTTAGTATGTTTCATGTATCTTCACAAAATTTAACAAGATTTCAATAAATATAATAAGTCTTTTGTAAACAAAAAATCGAACATTTTAATTAAGTACTTTTGCTAAAGATTTGTCCTTAACTATATGGAGTTAGAGTGTTGACTTCTTCAAGTGGAAAACGATTTTCATGTTAATGTTAAAAATACTTCATCTGAAAATTTTGAAATTTCATTTGCTTAACCTCTAAATAAACATTACTTTTTTACCAGTAAAACTTTATATTATCTATTTTTTGTTTACCCTAACTTGATATGGACCCATTAGATTTGACCAACCTTCTTAACTCCCACAAATATGAAATAAATCTAAATTACCCTTTTTTTTTATAATGACTGAAGATTATAACCTACATTTGTTTATCCTAAATAGCTTAAGGCTTGTAACAGTACACATCTGTTTATACTTAATTTTATTGTTTTATTGCCCTTTGAACCTCTCTCACTAATAATCATAACACTAGTTGTAACTCACTCATGAATGTGTAACTCACATTACATTACTGAATGATGTAATGCATGAGCTGCTTGTGAGCATACACTGTGAAGAATTATGTTTTTCATTATCTTACCTAAGCTGACCTTATCTAACCTAATATGTTTCTATTTTTTACATTTTAGTTACTTTTATAACAATAAATAAAGAATATACATGAAAAACAAGAAATATTGTACTTTCCTCTGCTCTCTTGTTTTATTTTGTTTGTTTTTTTGCTGTCAGTTGTTGATTAAATTTAAACCTGTTTTTTTTATAATAATGGTACTAGTACACTAAATATTTTTTATTTACATAAATGCCCATTAGAACATAGGATAACAGTTACAAAGCAAACAATATCCAAAAACTATCATGATTTAACTGGCTTTCTAACTGTGGCATAAAAGCCTTAAAATAATTATTTAAGCTTCCTGAACTGAACACTGTTATAGAAACTTTCAAACTGATGACTAAATGGAAAACAATGTAATATAATACATCAGTTGATAGATTAAAACTTCAGAGGAAACTATTTGCAACTTGTGAAAGAGAGGATGTGGCAAGTGGGTCTGATTTTCTAGTTTTTAACTCTGTAAAAAAAATAAGATTGAAGGTTTATAAACATTAAACTTTGCCTTAGTAATATCTATATTATAACGAGTAAGGTAAATAAACTAACAAAAGGAGAAGATCCAGAGAACAAGTGTCACGATTTTCATACAAGAGGAGATTGAGGATTTTTATAAATATTTCCTTATAAAATTAAGAACTGAAAACTTGTATAATATTAAAATTTGGTTTATTACTTTTGTTTTGATAATAAAAGAGTTTAATTACATATTGAATGTAACTATGTAAACGGTCATGATATTTGCATTCTGACCTATCTGTAGTGAGAAGATTAAACAAACTAGTACTTTGAGAAGTTTCCATCGTTGCTAAAGCTGTTTCTTACGTCAAGGATGCAACCCACTTGACAGCCTTCCCTCTTTGAAAGGACGAGCATGTTTGGTGTGACGGGGATTCAAACCCGCGACCCTCAGATTGCGAGTCGAGCGCCTTAACCACCTGCGTCCCCCCCACCATGTAGGAAAAATAGGAATCAGTTAAAAACGCTGGCCCAACTCCTTGATGTTGTTGACTTAAATATCCTAAATTTTTAACTGTTCATTTCATGCATTTGTTTTATACTAATGTATGTTTTAATATACTTTGTTATACATATTATATTGATAAATCTATTAAGCTGCTTTCAAATGTCACATGGATTTGGGTACTGCAACTGATGTATGTGTTTTCTAAAAAAAGTCCCCACCCCCTCAGTTAGTAATTCCCCAACAGTGATAAACCCAATATTTTATATAATTTTATGTTATATGTTATATAACATCAATTCCAAATCCATTAGTAAATCATAAAATTTCCTGTAATTTGATATAATGTTAATTATTTAAAAAAAAAGGTATTTCAAAAGCAAAAGTACACAAAATCAGCTTTAAGTAATTGATAATAAAGTTTCGCAGTTGGCTTTACTACTTTATAATTAAATATAAATAATCAAAATGAAATATTTGTCTTCAAAAAATAAAGAGGCAAAAACTATTTAGTCAAGGTTAAAACTCAAAATTGAATTACTATAGACAAAGACAAGTATTCCTCAAGGAGCCACCATTGTGAAGTTAGTGACAACACAGGCTGGTGGTATTGTTGGTAAGCCGAGGACAGCAGTCATCACTACACAGGCTGGGACAGCACAGCCTACAATTCTTGGAATTTCATCAGTTTCACCACAGGTAGTATTTTCACTCTTCTTAACAGTCTCATTTGTATTTATGTGAATTATTTGTTAAAGTAGTAGTAAAAAATCTGATAATAACAGATTAAGAAAATAACAGATTAATAAAAAAACGTTTGAAATGTATTTGGGAGGTTTTAGAGATTGTGTAAATGAAAGTTGAGATTTTTGAGATGCAGAAAAGTATTTTTATTCTTAATGTGGAAATTACTTTGCATTCGGACTAGTTAAAAAAAAAAAGACTGAGAAGTTAGAGAATTCTTCAAATAGTTAAAGGTTTAAATCTTATTACCCAGGTAGTTCAATGGTATTAGGAAATATCATTGAACTACATTTTATATGCAAGAAACATTTATGTATTTTAATGGTTATGTAACTGTTGAATATTTCTTTTATCTTTACTTAAAAATGAGTAGTATTCCATGATTAAGTTTTTAAGCTGGCAAAAGTTCAGATTTTGTTGTACTAAAACAAGTTACATGGAGATAGAAATATGGGTAGAATTTTCAGTTTTTGTTTCAATATAAACTTTACCACATTTGGTTTGATTCTCAGGGAACAATTCAAACTCAAAAGATGTTAAACACCATTATTCGCACACTGCCATCAAATGTTCTGTCTGTTGCCAAACCTGGAAGTGCAGTACCATTAGGTTCAACAACCACTGGTAATGTACCTAAGCAGACCATTGTCATTGCAGCACCTAAAGGAAGTCAGCCAGGAACACCAGCTAAGATACTGACCACTGTACCAAAACTTTCTTCACCTTCATCACAAATCATAGTAGTTACTACTCATGCACAGCTGAAAACAGTGACAGCAGGGGTGTCTACTGCTGAAGCAGGCAGAGGTTTGTTATAATAATTGTTTTTATTTGATAGTGCAGTAGTAATGCGAGACTGAAGGATGTTGATATATAGAAAACGCAGTCTTGTGTATTTTTTAATGTTCCTTAAACTAGTGTGTTAAACATCTGAACAAAAGAAGATTTGGACCTGTAAAAAACTAAATACTTTGCATAAAACCTGTTATTTGCTTCTCACAACTTTGTATTATTATTTACTGTATTTGACTGAAATGTAATGTATAAAGTCGCATAATGACATAATTAGATGTCTTTTGAATGTTTTTTAATTATTCAGTTAATTCAAAAAAAAATTATATAACCAAATGAATTTTGAACTGCATGATAAAATGACATAAGAGAATTTTTATCTATAAGCCAAAATTGAATAAGAAAATTAACAAGCCTTTAACAGTGCTTTTAAAATTCTACTTTGATCACATTTTTAGCTCGAGCAGGAACCTCCACAGTTAATGTTCTTCCAGTCTTGTCTGGGGCTCAACTGAATACGGTGAATACCTCAGGGGGAATAAAGATGATTGTGGTTTCCTCAGCTGGAATTAATGCTGGTCAGCAAGCTATTACCATTCTTACTACTGCTTCATCTTCTGCAGGTCAGTCCATAGCTTTATTCTAAATTGGCTCTTTTATAACACCCAAAGTTTCTCTCGGTTGCTAAATAAGGTTCCATTTTTATGGTGTGAGGTCAGAATACATCTGTATGTATATGTTTGTATATTTCTGTTTCACACTGCAAAACTTGAATGTTCTAAATACTACTTAGCCTAGGGAAGGTGCATGTGGGTGAAAGAGAGATGAACCTACATCAAACAAAAAATTGTCATGTCTTAAGATATTTTTGTTAACCCCTTTCCCGACCAGAAGGATATCACTAATAACATATGTTCTTTCTGTTGTGGAACTGTTTTTAAAAATGTAAAATACTTCTGTATATGTTAGACTCTCCTTTTTCAGTATTCATCAGGAAGTTGCATCATTCTTATCCAATCAATTTTAACTTGTTTAATATTCATTAAAATATTTATTTTCATACTTTATTTTACCTTCTTTAAATGGTGTGTTTGTAAAGTTTGCACATACAAGCTTTTTTTTTTTGCTTTTTCTTTTTTTAGTTAGTGTTTAGTTTCAGGTATTTGTTGATCATTTGATTTCTAATAAAGTAATTCATAATTAGGCATTGATAATATATTTTCTTTGGTTATTTCTATGCACTTTTAATCATTTTCTTGGATTTTTGTTAACTTGTTTTCTTATGATTTTATAAATTTTTATTTTACAAGTTTAGTTTTATACATGAGATAAGCATTTTATTACACTTCATTTAGTTGATAACTACACTTAGTTTTATGTAACATTCTAGTTATGATACTTTGAAAACTTAATATAATAGCTGTTATGTTGTTCTCAAATACATTAACATATTTTAACAAAAAGAAAGTATTATTGTATCTGTGGCATTTTGCTTTTAAGATTGTTTTAGTGTTGTATATGTTGCTGTTAACAACTAACACCAGAAGACCATTGTTAAATTTTGAGTACCACATGCTTTCTTGGCCAAAAAATATATCTCTTCCTCGAGTGTGCATTAGCTTGAATTATTACATGGTAAAATGTTTGGTTTACCTTGCAGGCACACTAAACCTTTTTTTTTTCTCTCTATTTTGTTGTTGTTATATATAATATTTAGGTGTTAGGAGTTTTTCTTGTCAGTTATTGATAATGTCATTACTTTTGTCTGATCAAACATATGTAAATATTGTATAATTGAAAAAAATATAAAAGGCAAATATTTTGCAGTCTTATTTTATGTTTGTATATAAAATTATCAAAATATATACATTTTGGAAGAATGTAAAATATAACAAGGTTATTTTATAAAAATGGATAAAAGCATAGAGTTTGTCTATTATGCAAATATAAGTTCACAGCAAAGGTGATTGGAGTTGTTTTTTATTAATATCTTTGCAGTATATTTTTCATACTATATTAGATCAGTTTTATATAAAAGAATACAAGTGCATGCACACAAGAACACGTGTACAAAACTTTTCCATTGAAGGTGTTTCCTAATTCTAGAAATTTAGAACATCAAACATATCAGGCAGTTAAATATATGTTAGTATATGTGATCAAAATGTGTATGTGTAAGTAATTCCTTATTATTCAAAAATTGAAATAGACTTTATATTTATAGGAGAAGCAGCATTGCCAAGTTCTGCTAATTTCAAAATGGTTTTACTTTAGCAATTACCTGACTCTCAGATTGTTGTAATTAGTGGAACTGGGGACGAATCGCAGTTACAGATTTGAATAGTGATTGCAAAACTAAAACAAATTTTAAATCAACTGAATTTGATTATGCTCTTTCTATTCAAGTGTAGCCTAGTTCCAGTTTTTTAATTATATCACATATAGTGTCACATTCAAAAATTATATTTCATTAAGTTGTTAGACTATAAATGACAGTTTTTGTTGTTGTTTTTTTTCTGCCAATTCCTTTTGGATACAGGCCATCTATCCAAATTTAAGGCATTACACAGACATTTTAAAACTTAAATTATTATAAAATTATTGGTGATTATCTTAACATAATGAATTCAAGTGTTTAAAGTATTAAACTAATGTTCTTCAAATACTTTGGAGCTACAAAACCACTTGATTTGTTTCAAGATTTGATCATTGAAAAGTTGTTGATACAGATATTTGACCTAATTCCATTTTAAATATCCAGGAGTACAAGGAACATCAACAGTTACATCTCCTATCACAATCACCATGCCAAGTTCTGTTCTCCAAAGTGGAACAAAAACAGCAACAGTTGCACTACCTGCTAAAAGTGGCCCCAGCACTGTTCAGGTAATTATTGTTTTTTACTTTTTCTTCTTTTTTTCATGTTCAAGCTTTTGCAAATTACATTTAATGTATTAATTTTTTATTTTTTAAAGAAATCCATGATTGTGCAACTTGATGCATACATTCCACAGGATTGCTTTTAATGAGATGTTTTGTATTGTCTGCCAAAACCAGTGAAGATTATTTTTGTTCATTCTGAAATTAAAATTGATTGATCATTTTAAATTTTTTTCCAGGAATATTAGTGTACACAAATGGACATTTTGATCACTTCATTGACTTTATAATACTTAGTATAAAGAAAAAAATAATGTGTACTGCTAAAGACACGTATCATAGGTGATCAGTTTTAAAAATAAACTTCATATTTCTAGTGACCCACCAGCTGATGTAGATTTGAAAGTATTTTTTTTTGTGTTTTGCAATAAAAAATATTCTTGAATTCTTTAATATTTTACATTGTAAAACTGAATATGGATAGTTTGCCCACTACATGTTTTTGTTAAGCTGTTTAATACCTATTCCACATTTCATGAAAAATTTTAAAGTATTTTTATATTCTTTCTAGTTTAGTTCAAGCAATACATTTACTTTTAAAGTAATATATAAATAAAATTCAAGATTCTCTCAACTGCAGATATCACAGATATATAATCTTACTTACTCAGACTGCCAATTTTAATGATTATATGTTGTTACACTTATTTCTGACACTCATATTTAAAGTATCTAAAGTGAATAAGACATCTTTATACATTTTCTGGGTTTGGAAGCTGAAGGTGAACACACATTTGAGGATGATTTTCCTCTGATGATGTTTTCCATGTTTGTGTCAGATTTCAGTGCATTATATTAACTCACTTCTTATCCAAAACATTCATCATTTTATGACTTCTACACATGAATGTACGTAAAGCTGTGTTCTAGACTTGGCTGTGAAGCTTGAATAATGTAGTGATGATATCTCTGTATACACTCATACACAGTTGTTATAAGCTTACAACTTATTAATTTATTTCTGTTCTATAATTCAGCTTACTGCTGGCCAGTCTGGTGGCTCTCAATTAATAGCTGTTCCTGCACAAGGAATTCTGCCAACAGGAAGTCATGCAATCACATTGAAAGCAAAGTCTGGAGCTACACAGAAAGTACTCACCATTGTCACTACTCAACCATCTCTTGGAAGTGTTGCTCAGGAACTCTCTGGTAACCAAGCCAGTCCTGCAGTTTCAGTTGTCACTACACGGGTAAGTTTTAAACTTATAATTACATGTGAACAATTTTGAATAAAGATACTTATTTACCAACAAAAAAATATTTTTGTATATATTCTATGAATTGTCAGTATAGATGTTTTTAAATTATTGTTTTGAAAGTGGTTTACACTCTAATTAGAATTTGGGGGGGGGTGATGAAGAAAAAAAATTAATTGGAATTAAATTTTAAGTTTTCAAAAAATAATTTTATAACTAATTAAAACGCTTGATGAAAACTTTGCTCTATTACTTTGTTTTATTGTTTTGTCCTAAAAAATTTAGTGAGGTAACAGAGTAATATGTAAGTGGTAATTGTATATTTTACTGAGAAGTGGAATTGATTTGATGACTTGCATCATGAGTCAGTCATGACCTAGTGATTAATTGCTAGGGTGCAGATTAGAATAGTCACAATATGCTAATGAACATCCACACTTTCAGTTATGGATGTTTTATAACTGTGACAGTCAATCCTGTTGGTTAAGAGGAGCTGCATAAGTGGCAGGTGCTGTCAACTAGTTGTCCTTCTGGTCACCAGTTCTAAATGATGGGTGACTATTTCTGAACTTAGATTCTCTGATCTGATCATTTATCCATCATGTTGCATAAGGTGCCATTCGGTTTAAAATACCAAATAAAAGATTTTTTCTTAGGGTCTTCTATCAACATTAGTGAGTATTTGGAATTAAGTGCCCCACCAACTTAATTCTAGTGTTACCAATTTCCTGAAAATGAAGTAACATTTATGCTAAATCAATAATGATGATTTTTAAATTATGTTTTCAGATCTCTAATTATAAATTTCTGCTTTGAATGTCTTCATTTTGATTATAGTGATCTGTCTCTACTTTTTCAGTCATGCATCACAAAAAATGGTAAACTAAGAGTACTGTTCTTTTTAATGGCCCATCTTGTGTTAGGTTTAAGCTTAAAATGTGAGACTCGACTTTATCCCATTCATTTATAAACATGTCATACTGCCTTGAATTTTTGTTAAGGAAGAATAAAATATTTTTCAACAATTATAAACACATACTTAAAAGATGACATATCCGTGTATGTCTATTATGAACATTTGATTTAATTATTCCATTGTATAATGGATCCATTGTTAGACTTTATAATGATGTCACTTATAATTATAATGATGTAACTTGATAGTTTATTGATACACTTCATAGTAATTGACTTGGTTTTTAGATTATTTAATAGATAACCACACTTAAGTTAAAGTTGAGGATTATCACTTGTTTAAATGATCTTGCAACCACTAGATAACTATGAAAGTGTACATGCTATAATATTTCATGTATTAAGTGTATCTTCACAGAATTTGGCAAGCTTTTAGTAAATATTTCAAGTTCTTTGTACACAAAAAATTAGGCTTTTTAAGTAAGTATTTTAAATATTTGTTGGTGAATTGATTGACTCAGTGTGACTCTGACTAATGTGAATGCATGGTGATATTTATGTCAAAATTGAAAAACGTTTTTCAAATTTTATTTGCATAAACTTTAGAACCTCCAAAATGAGTAAAATATGGTTGTTGTTTTTTATTGTTGTTGTTTTTAAAACATATATTCTATATGATATTCTATCTACCCTACCACTAGAGATTCAGTCCATTTGACTGACCGTGTAACTAAGTTTATTCATATACAGTGATAATAAAGTAGTTTAATTAAATTTTGAAGGTAACTCTATAGAAAGTCGTGACATGCACACTTTTACCTATCCATATAGAGAACATTAACAGTCTAACAAACAAAAGTTTCTTTGCAAGACATGTTTAATTGCCTAAAAACTGGTATTAGCTCAAATTGTGTTTTAATGTGACAGTTGAAAAGCATAATTTTGTTTTTACATCTAACTTTTGTTGTAAAAAAGGTTAGCATACTTGGAAGGGATATTTCAACTTCCATTTTGACAAGCAATTTTTATGTAGACTAGTTTTATATAAAATGTTATTTTTGTTGTCCATGTATTATTAGAAGTGTATGACAGCATCATGACTATACAAGTTACTTTCAGAGGGCATTTTGTATTAATATTGTGTTGTTTAATGTGGTACTTATATTCAATTTCATATTTAACAAGGCTTTAAGTGGGCTTCCAGTGTCAGCTAGTGGAAACACAACTAAAGTTATGATAGTATCAGCTCCAACAGCTGGCAGTACCTCACCAACAGTAACCCAACTTCCAGAATCCCTTGAAGGTGCTGGTGACATGGTAGACCAGAAAACACTTGCAGCAGCTGGTAATGATTCTCATTCTACTAAAATTAATTCTTCAGTTTTTATATTATAGTAATATGCTATGCATGTATCTGGTATTAACCCTTAGAGTGCATTGTGAGCAGGTCCAATTCATCTTTACAGAAGCTGTCATGAGGGTCTATATCTATTTGCATGACACTTGGCACACAGTTTTGAAACATTTATCAAATACTTAAAAAAACGATTCTTTAATGTATTTTGGTGTAAGGAAATATACATCTTCTTTCAACTGAAAAAAAAATATTAAGCTTCCATAATAACTTGTTGGTTAACTATTTAAAAAATAATGCCACCATCAGTCAAGAGCTTATACATACAAGAATATCAAATGTACACTGAGTGGTCACAAGTAAATAGACACCACCTTTTTAGAAAAAATGAAATATTTCAGTCATATTCACATGA